GAGGAAAAAACGGTTAATGTTGTGCGCAAGCAATGCTTGGTCGTCTGGGTCCAAAATTCTGTGAATTTTTCACAGATGTTCCGAAATCTCTGTGAATTTTTCACAGATGTTCCGAAACTTCTGTGAAAAATTTACATGTTTTTTTGGGGTCATTACAGATGTTCCGCAATTGCTGTAAAAATAAAACAAACTTTAAAATTTAATCTGGCGAATGAAGTTGAATACTTAACGGCATTGTGAACATTTATAAAATTCCTTGTCGTAGAAGTTTCTTTCTGGCAGGCAATAAGTGAAAGTCGATTTTTGAAGTTTTGTGCAGAAGAGGGTGAAAATGACCACATCGACTCTCCAAAAAAAAGAGAAAGCTGGCTTCACAGAAAACTGCGGGATATCCCAGGTACCAACAAACCCAGACCCCACATCCAACTCCTCCCATGTCTGAGCCTCTCTACACTATGTTCGCGGGCCCTGACGTCGACAACAACCAACAACTTCTTCTGGAGGGCAAACTCCCCATCCCTGGTGGCCTGGCTTACCCTACCCAAGCCTTCCTTCGCCACTGTCGATTGCACGACAGTTACCGGCCTCGTCCTTTCCCCTTGACGGTTGAAGAGCACGTGGACTTTTGGAGTCGCACCCCTGAGAACAAGGGTTCTGAGCCCCACGGCCTCCATAATGGCCACTTCAAGGCAGGCGCCCTCTCGGAACTGTTGGCTTCTTGTGACACGGCGTTTGGGGACCTTCCACTCCGTTCAGGCCATGTTCCGGAACTCTGGAAGAACCTGATGAACTTTGCGATTGAGAAGAAGCCTGGTGACTTCCGCCCACAAGGGATGCGGACCATCCAGCTGTTCAACTCGGAGGCTCAAGCCAAAACATTGCATGGGTTAAAAGAGCAAGGGGTTGAAGTCTACATTGACGATGTTGGACTCTTTTCTAATTCTTATAAAGAACACATGCAATTGATCAAGACAGTGGTCGAGCGTCTACAGGAAGCTGGCTTCAAAATCAATCCTTTGAAGTGTGAATGGTGTGTTCAAGAAACGGATTTCTTGGGCCATTGGTTGACCCCTGAAGGTGTCAAGCCGTGGAAGAAAAAGGTAGACGCCATCCTCAAAATGGATGCGCCTCGCAATATTACTGAACTTCGAGCTTTCTTGGGCGCCGTGACATACTATCGTCACATGTGGCCGCGACGTTCTCACCTTTTGCAACCTTTAACAGCTCTCACTGGCACCAGATCTTTTGTCTGGACCAACAAATGTCATACTGCATTCAAGACTATGAAGTCTTTGATGGCTAGCGATATTTTAATGCGCTATCCAGATCACAACAAGCCCTGCTTCTGACTATCAGATGGGCGCGGTGATCATACAAGACAAGAAACCGGTTGCGTATTGAAGTCGCAAACTCAATGATGCACAAAAGAACTATTCTGTAATGGAAAAGGAAATGTTGGCTATTGTGCATTGCTTGAAAGAGTTTTGATCTATGCTTTATGGTACGCAATTGCCTATCTTTACTGATCACAAAAATCTCACTTTCCGCACGTTGAATACACAACGAGTTTTACACTGGCGAATGTACATGGAAGAATTTTCGCCTACGTTTAACTATTTACCAGGTAAAGACAACGTTTTGGCCGACTGTTTCTCGCGTTTACCGCAAATGCCCTCACTAACGAGGAGTTCTTCGCTTCGTGCTTCTGCTTTGTTGATGACACCGATGTCATGGAGTCCAACGACAACGTGGAGACGACTGGCAAAGACCTCCTCCCTTCGGTACAGTCGGCTTTGGACCTTTGGTCGGGTGGCATCAGTGCCACTGGTGGAGCTATCAACCCGGCGAAGTCCTTCTGGTGGCTGATTGATTTCAAATGACGGCCGTCATCTGGCACGTGGGTGTTTCGAAGGAAGGCTGAAATGCCTGGCGAACTGACCCTCCAAGACCCTACTGGGCCGTGGGCGACACTACGACGCCTCCAACCCGATGAAGCTGAACAGACCCTGGGAGTCATGATGGCTCCACTTGAGACCGGAACTGCACAACACCTTGCCCTGGGGAGAAGGCCAAGAACTGGGCAGCCAAGTTCCGTCCCCAACATCTTCTTCGCTATGACGTTCTTCCCTTGCTCAAGGCAACCACCTTGAAAACTTTGGAGTATGTGATGCCCCTTTCCACACTGGGCCGCTCCGAGTGGGTGTCCATCATGTCACCGATCCTCCAAGTGAGTTTGCACAAAGCTGGGGTATGCCGTTCCTTTCCCCGCGTCGTGGTCTTTGCCCCTCTGAAGTACCCTCTCGGAACTCACCACCGCCGACGGGTGTTCCCTGACGGCAGCTTCTCTTGCCTTGCCGGCCAACCCTCCGGAGACTTTGTGACCAGCTACAATTGGCCCCGAACCCGACGCCCTGGCCCCTCTCACTGGGACCTATGGCGACGCGTCCTCTCTCAAGCTGTCCTCCGCCCCTACAGCCGCTGTCGCCGATTGTTGCAGCCCCTCGGACCGTGGTCTGATTCGCTAGACCGATGGACCTGGCTCTTCTCTCGCACCGCTTTGATCCTCTTCCATCGGACGGACACAAACCTGGCAATCTACCGGCCCATCAACTCGCGTTCCCATAAGACCTTCCGAAGGGATCTTCACCACACCTGGACGGGCACCCTTCCCGGGGACGTTCAAAGGGCCTCAGTCAACCTTCACCCACGGACAGCCTACGTCACTGTCACGGGCACAGCCCCGGTAGATCCACCAGATCAGGAGTCCATGCCAGCCTCGATCCTTCACATCTGGAGGGAATTGGCAGCCGACATGGACGACGATTGGGGATGGGTCCCGGAATACATCTCCATTGAGGGTGACGAACAAGTCCTACTGGAGGCACTGGAGAAGGTAAAGCTGCGGGTGATTAGCGATTGCTCCAGCCGCTGTCCAGCTACGAACTAGACGGGGAGGGCACGTCATCTGGATGAAGTGCCGTACATCTGGTAAACGAGAGGATCAGAGTGCGTACCGGAGTGAACTTATCGGTCTGTTAGCTGGTATCTTGGTGGTCTTGGCTCCGCCTACGCCTACAGTCCCTCGCCAAGCCACGAGTCCGTGTGGCGTGTGATGGGATTGTCGCGCTTCGCCAGGCCTTCTCGACTTGGCCGCTGTCTCCCACCGCCCCACACTTCGATCTCTTGTCCTCCATCCGCGAGGCCCTCCGAGTTTCCAACATATCCTGGGCCAAACAACACGTGGGCGGCCACGCTGACCGAACCAAGACATGGCGACAGATGTCTTGGTGGGAACGACGGAACTCCAAGGTGGACGACATTGCCCAGGGCTACGCCGACGAGCTGATCGCCACCGACGACACGATCGCCACCAATCCCAAGTTCTTCTCCGAACCCTGTGCGATCTACATCGACAACAAGAAGGTCTCCTACCTGGCCTTGGAATCGGTCGACGAAGCCGTTGTCCTGCCGGAATTGATGGAATACTGGGCAGCCAAAGGCCGCCTCGCTCCCGAAGACTTCCGATCGGTGGACTGGCCAATAGTGCACCGAGCGATGAAGTCTCTGAAGCCCGCCGAACAGCGCTTCATCACAAAACACACCGTTGGAATGTGTGCTGTCGGCAAGTTCCGTAAATGATGGGGCCTCGACTCCGAGAACCGATGCCCCTTGTGCGGCCTGGAGGAAGACCACCTACACGTCCCCCGCTGCCCTTCCGACCGGGCCAAGACCCAGTGGCAGCTCCTACTCCAAGAACTCCAAGAATGGTTCCAGTCCACCAC